CCGGTCCTTCGATATAGATAACTTGACAAGGTCCTTTCCCTTCAATGTTGATGTAGGCCCTTTACAATCCGGTGAATATCCTGTACCCCATTGTAGCAGATCGCCGTTTTCGGTAATTGCTGCAGCAAAATTACGATCTAACTTAATATCTCGAATGAGCTTCCCATCAAAATATGGTATTCGTCTTGGAGTTTTGACATTGATCTCCTCGGAGTCGGGTGCAACAACACGACCCGTATTTGACCCCCATGCATATACTCCTGGGTTCTCCCAGCTCCTCTTCACTTGCAAATGCTGTGAGCTTATTTGATCTCGATTCTCTTCTTTTGTGCTAGTATTCCTCCTCTTCTTCTCGAATTGTAGCTCGGCGGGTGTAGGGAGCTCTTCTGCATGTAAAGCTCGTGGATAGCCGCTCGCATATAAACCTCCAGCGCATATTGTCAGTGATAATAATAAGGCAGCTTTCCGTGAGTTTGAAGCTCTGCTGGCAACAGCAACTCTGGAATCACTGGAACCTCCAATATATCGCCTCTGGAATGCAATTGAGCGATTGGTATGTCGATTTGCTCGTTGAACAATCGTGCCGCATTTCGGCATAACTTTGCTTGACAACATCATTGATTTCCTATGCCTATATCAAAAATTGAGAACTAGGGCTTTGTACATTTACGACAATGACATTTATTAGACTCGCCACTGCCCCTCATACCACAAAGTTCTCCTCAGCCTTGTCCGTTTCCATCCCATGACGAATTGACTTTCATGAACCAATAATGATCTGACTAAATGTAAGGCTAGTAGTCCGTGCCGAGCCCCATGAATAAACGGTGTTTCTAATACTCACGACACTTCAGCCTTACTCAACATCTTGGAACGTCAATGTAAGGTACCGGTAAAATGTACGAAGATGCGTGGTACAGTTTTGTACCGGAAACCAATACCAAAAAGAATTATGTCACCTCGCAGGCATCGCAACATCGTCGCAAAGAATCTCTTTTGCAGCAATCTAATGTAAGCCCCTTTCGTATTTCGAAAAGTGCCTTGAGTTGATGGTTTATATAGGGCAGCAACCAAATGTTGGACCAGAACTCTCCAATGCTAGGGATATATGAGGATAAACCTGTATCGAATGACCCTCCGAAAGCTACATTGGCAAGAAGAGCAAAATCATATAGCGATTTCTACGAAGTAGCTATGGCATATATAAACAAGGAAACGAATGAGGGAAAGACACAGAACGAGCGCGATGCTGAAGGAGAGGAATCTAGGACTCCTCTGTTTGAGGAGCGGTACAGTGCGCTTGAGGACGAACTGGTGGATGGAAGCCTCGAGGAATACCAGTATGTCAAATATAAGCGACGAGGATCAAACCAAAACGCTGACCATCTGAAGATTATATCTAGACCAATTAGTTCTATCCGAGCGTCATCTTGACACTCTTTTAAGTGATACCACAAGCGCACTGGATACGCTTACTAGTCTTTCCGAATCATTCAAGAAAGTCGAAGCACAAACCACGGCCTTTCAGGCCCAATGTGAAGATCTTTTAGAGGAACAAAAACGTATACGTGAATTGGCAGATGATGTTGGAACGGATTTGCAATACTATGCTTATCTTGAACCTCTGACTCGACGCTTGAATGCTCCAGGTGCTGGAAGGCTGGTCAAAAACGGCGACTTCTTGGATATGTTAGAGAATCTTAACTCTTGTATTGAGTTTATGGATCAGCATGTAGGTCTTGTCTTTTTTATGCCCATATCTCGGAAATTTTGATACTCGGCGGTTGCTTCGTGTAGACTAGTAGAAACACCTTCTATGCATGCTACTTTTATCAAATCCGTTCTCAAATCAAGGAGCTGTTTCACAATAAATTACGAGGCTCATATATCTTGAGATAGACCTTAAATTACTTGTAACTAATTATTTACAGCCAAACTATAAAGACTCGACCGTGTATAAGACTCGCTATACAACACTTTTAGACAAAGCTCTTAACCTCGTCCAAATTGCTTTCTCAAATTCTCTGCGTGAAGTATCAGATGATGCCTCAAAACAATTGAAAGCCAAAGAACAAACGGAGACAAATCAATATATTCTTCTCTATGGCAAGTACGAATCTGCTAGGGAGAATTTAGGTCTTTCGATTGAACGACTCTTGACGACTGATGAATTTGCGTTTGGGAGAAGAGGAGATGTGGACCGAACACCATATATCCAACAATGGCATAACCTCTATCAACAATTGCTTGAGTCCTACATAAGATCCCGTGATCCTGTTGGACCTCTTGTTCTCAAAAATCTTCAAAAATTCTCAACTACTTCACCCCTCCCGGACAAAGAGTTTGAACTATTCGCTAGACGATCCGTGCAATATGTCTTTGATACATGTCAGAATGAGTTGAAACTAGCAGCTAAATTCTTTCAGAATGGACCTCTCATGGCCGATTATCCCCCACCTCCTGTTCCGTGGAACATGCCTAATGCATACCTCAAGGAATTGGAGGAGAGTTGTCTGTCTCATGTAAAGATACTCCACGGCTTCCTAACCCCATATTTAAGCAATGGTGACTTGCATCGAGTTTGCGACTTGGTTGCTTGGCTGGGTGACACTTTTATCTCAGCAGAGGCACACGAAGATGAGAGTCGTGATGGACAAAGATTGGCTGCGCAGGTCTTGTTGGGCGTTCATCTCTGGCCATTGGCTGATCAGCTTTTTATCATGGAAGCAAGAAAACTTGAGCACTTCAAAGCATCTCCGGAAGATCTCAAGATCATATCGCCAAATGCTCAGAAGTTATCCAATGAAAAATCCATTCCAACAAGTGGCTTACGAGTTGATACGACCCTTAAGCCTCTCGAAGAAAGAACATCTGTTGAGGCTGGTGTTTCAAATGCCTTTCCGACAGTCAAGACGGCGGTTAGTTTACTAGTTTTATACAACGAAAGCATGCATGAGAGAACAGTAAGTCACACTGCTTCAAATACAAATGTGACTGCACTAACATTCGTATACAGCTCAAGAAAGGTGATGTTCTTTACGAAATTGTGCATCAAACTACCGAATCTCTGCAAAGAGCTGCAACAATCATAAAGCGAACTTCGAATAACATAATGGATGCACAGCTATTTCTCATCAAAAATTTGATGCTCATCGAAAACTTGTTCATGACTCACGAAATCCCAGACTCGATCCGTCAATCAGCCGAACTCGACTTCACTCCTCTTTGGGAGACGCTCAAGGAACTCCAATCTCGTCACCAAGTGTTTAATCCCCTTGCATATATCAGACCAATGATCAAAGGTCAACTACTTCCTGCTGTGGTTGATAAAGTATTAGATGCTATGAAGGAATTAGAAAAGGTCTTGGTACAACAGATTACGGCTTTCACCAAGCACTGGCAAGCAAGGTTGTCGTTGAAGGATCCTAGGAAGAGAGATCAGGTGTTGAAGGCTGAGCAGGAATTGGATGTTTTGTTGGAGAGAGTTTTTGACGAGGAGACCACACGAGCGGCGTTGTTGAGAATGGTTAGAGGGGGGGAGGTGTATTAGGAGGTGGAGTTGAATGGCTCGTGTTATTGCTTCTTGATCTTTGGCTTGGTATTGTAAATTGATACCAATTCCCAAGTCATCGTAAATTCTGTCCAGGCCGCGGAGCAGTTTTTGGATTACATAACATGCCATTCTTGTTCACGCATCCTAGTTACAATCTCTTGTGTTTTGCCTTTCATATTTTCTCATATTGTAGAAGCACAGTATGTGTTTTTTCACCAGCGAACAATATTCCTCAATCACCTCTTGCCAGACATAACATACTCATCATTATGGCTTGCCACTATGTTACCTATCTCAAAGTCCACATATCTCCAAGTCCTCCCTAGATAATCTTCATCCATTCCTCAAAGAAAGAAAAGCAGCATTACTTTGACAATCCCTAACGCGTGCCATGTCTCCCTCTCCATCTGCACCTCCTGACCATTAGCACAGTGAAACTAAAAGCCGCTGCCCAACATCTCATAACTGTGCTTTACCCCTAATCAATCAAACATATCCATTTATCACACACGAATGCCCGCCGGTGAGCAGCCAGTTCGCTTCCTCCCTATAGGCATTTTTCAATGAATACCTACATACACACGATGAAAATAATATGCACCCAGCCCCCTTTGTCTCCCATACAGAACCGGCTAAAATAACCCGAATCGACCACCAGAACTATATCAAGATGATACGAAATCAGTTTCAACATATCTGATTTATTTTATAGGACTAACAACCATATCAACGAACGAGCCTCACTATACTATTGCCAGCTTGACAAGTGGAGATGCCTATCTGCTCCGTGGGAGTAGAGTAGAGTAGTAGGACAGTAGGATATCGTTTCGCCATGAATTGTAGTTCTTCTCAGCGGATGATCTGGATACTACCAGCCTTTTGCGTTTGTCTTAATCATTCACTATTAGATCTTTTTAGATTTAGATAGTCTCGAAGTAGTCCAATAGATTTCGTGTATATCATACATCAAGCCTCCAATCTGCTTTCTTGAAAAGCTTACTCGAGTACATATTATATTAAAATGCCGTCAGCCTTGTGAGACTGAGATACACAGTCACCCAATTCCAAGCCAAATTCAAACCTGCCCAACATCCTTATACCTAGATACGATGTGCTAATACTTTTCTACACCAATATGAAGCGCCCACTGATAAAGTCAAGATAGATAGTATGAATCTCATAAGAATGGTATATTATTTGTAAGTAATAACCCAACGGCTTTTACCCAGCTCCAAGACTATCCATCAAGTTTCTCTTGGGTATGTACAATTTGAGGATCTGAGATCCTCGCAATCAATTTCTTCCACGCCAAAATACGCCAATCAAGCCCAAATACGATTATCTGTTCGTACATCCTAATGTCACAAACGCCACTCTTTATCATAGTGCTTTCGTTCTCCCGATCTCAAGGGTTTATGCTTCATATTTCTTGTGTCCCGACTTTCTCTTACTCCGCACCATTCAACTGTTTATAAAGCGCCTCTGTACCCTTTCGCAAGTCCTCAGTCCAGGCTTTAATCTGCATGACTTGAGTGTCAAGTATGGCTTGTTTTCTGGCCTCTGTCTCAGCTTTCATACGCTTCGATCTTTCACTAGCTTCGATTCCCAACTCGATTTCACGGATTTTGCGTTTCTTCTCAAGTTCCTCCTTACGTCGTACTTTGTTGGCGAGATACTTCAAACTATGTCCCAAAACCTGGGATTCTTCCGGGATTGGGTTTGATTCAAGTGGAGGAGAAGTATAGAAAATGACCCTGCCAAATTCATCCGTGTGAAATTGTGATCGAACGTCGGGTGGAATGGCAGAATTTGCTGCATCTGAAAGTGTGTATACTTCAATTGCACGTGGTGGATTGTATGCGTTCCCGTGTGAACCATGTGAATTCGAACCAGAGCCACCAACACGTGGTGTACTGCTGCTATGATAACTCTGGTAGTTGGCTAATGGGTTGGAGTGGTGGTGGGTGGTGGTGGGAGTGGAGGAAGTATGATGGTTATATGAAGTTGTTGGCTGGTACGTCGGAGTTGGTGGTACAGCTTGTGTGGCTCCGTGCGAGCTATATGAATGAGCGTGCTGAGGAGGCGCTGGAGATGCAGATGGCCGAGCTTGTGTAAAGGATTGCGTATATGCCGGTTGAGCTGAATGCTGATTGATCATGGGCGAGGCAGTAGCGCTTGGAGTTGTTCCACCCATTGATATATCTCCCTGTGAGTCAAATCGAGGTCTTTCGCTTGTAGGAGGGGGACGACTTCGTTCTGAATTTGGTACAGGAGATGCGGCAGGTGGAGTGGGCGATGGTGGTGGAGAGTCCTTTATAGTGTTAGAATACGTAGATTGACACATCTCATAATAGAGAACTTACATTTTCGGCACGAGGTAGCTTATGCACAGCTCCAACAATAGGCGGCGCCCCATCTACACCCTTGGTGGGTTTTGGAGTCTCGTCATGTTCTGTAGCATCATCGCGGAGCAGATGTTTGATCGGGCTCGGAAACTTTTTCATGGGCCTTGGGGTGTCAAAGAGATCCATTTCATAATCTTTCTCCCTCACTTCATCTGGTACACAGCTAGCCCAGGTCTTGATTTTGTTGAGCTTGAATACGGTTTCATTGTAACGCGCCTCACAAACATAGATCTCCTTATCCGCAGGAAAGTTACGGGGACGTCCTTTGAAGTATCTTGTGAAGAACATGACAAAGCAACGGTCAACAACATCATCAATCTTATGATCGATATAGCGTCCAGTCTTAACAACCTCATTTTCGTAGAAATGTTTATCATAACGATGAACTGTTTGCTCGGGCCGTAAGTACCAACAAGCATTAATCCAGTCTTGTCCTGAGATATCCCGCCAGGTTCGATAAATCTGGCCAACTACTGGCTTTGTAACATCGTTAAGGTTGGTTATGTGAATCCAGTCTCCAACCTTCCACATCTCGCCTTTGTAAAGGATCTCTTTGAGAGGTATTCGTCCATCCTCAGAGGCAAAGTCTTCATCCGGTCTGTTCTTCTCTTGTTCAGCTAGAGCTCTAGCTTCATTCTGAAGGAACACTGCATCGTTATAAACTTCGCTATCCTCCTCATTGAACGCCTTTGCATTCTCAAACATGAGCTCTATATCCTTCAAAACCTCGCCCACAGTTTCGTACTTCTTACGCTTTGCCTGCCTCTTAATGAGATCCATTGCCATAGGGGTCTTGACTTCCTGGTAATATTCGGGCATATTTGTTTTATCGGGCAATCTTTCGAATGGTGCAATTTTAAGCTCTCCCCTAGGATTTTTAAACTTTCTTAATCCCTTCAGAATATTATTTATGCGGGCTTCCATGGGAGTATGCACCTTAGGTGGTCTACCGCGCTTCTTCTGCACTTCGGGCTCTTTTGTTGCTTCATCAGTATTACCATCGCGCCTGTTCACGCTCGAACGTCGAATTTTGCGTTTGTATTTTCGTTTCGCGCCTTCATCATCGGTATCGTCTTCTTCATCATCCTCTTCGTCATCTTCGTCGTCTTCCTCCTGTTCTTCGTCTCCAGGGCCAGGTGGTGGTGAATCTTCGACGGGTGGGAGCTCTCCTAGATACGGCATCTCTGCTTCCTCTGCGGTAATCACCTTTCCATCTACCAATTGTTGCATTTCCTTCTTGAATAACTCTCTAAGCGCAATGGCGTCATGATATGCAGCTGCAGACGGACGATTGTAAACTTGTGCATTATGAGATATGAGGGCAAAGTCGCGGACGAATTCCTTGAAGCTCTTGTACTGCTTCTTGAGGATTTTTTGCTATTAATGTGTCAGTTGCTGCACGCGCGCGCATCTGCTAGGTAGGAATGACATACTCTAACGGTGCTGAATGCGGTAGGTTCCTTAATCACCTCGAAGTAATCTGGTAGAAACCTCTTGTTGAGCATGCGCTGAAAAAGCTGTGAGATATCGTAACCGCTAGATTCATATTAGCATCCCTTGAAAAACACATGCGCAAACCGCAATTGACATACTCTTCCGTGCGATATTCCGACAATTTGTGTACAACTTCATTCATAACAATATATCCATCCTTTGTAACACCGTTGACCGTCGCAAGGGAGCCTACAGGTTCTGGCGCATTTCCCGTTGTTTTTGTGTCTGGCTTTGCAGCTACTGTCTCTACTTCTGCTTCGGGTTCAGGCTGCGGTTCGGGTTCAGGCTTTGCTTCTGGCGCATCGGTCATTTCAACATCATTGGAAGTCTTAGGTTCTTCTGTCTTGACGCTTGATTCATCTTGAATCGGGGCCGGTGCAGGCGACTCCATCTTTTTTATTGAATCTAGCAACTATATCGCGGGGTTGCGTTGCTAAGGATTTGGTCGCTTTTTGAGGGAGCTCGAGTAATCGCGTTGGAGCGCGATCCCCACAAGCAACGGAAACCGGTCGAGCAAAGGATATTGCCACGTGACTCCTGGGGTATTCAAGCCGAAGTGAACAGCGAACAGCTGGAAGGGGTGGACTTTATTCACTTATTATTTTGCCACAACATTCTTCTCTAAACTAAGTACGGGTTCCAAACGATTCTAGACGATAAATATTAATTAATATATAGGATTCACGAATCCACGACGATTTTAAACTGTTATCTTTCATAAACATTTCAAGAAATTATTGTCCATATAAACCAAGTACTGAACCACTTTCGACGACACCCACGTGCCAATACCAACCCAGATATCAAAGATGCCGCGAATGCGAATTCGAGGACCAGAAGGGACATCCACCATAACTCTTTCAGACGATGCCAAAATCAGTGATCTCATATCCGAAATCGCCTTAAAGACGTCTCTCACAAATTTCGATATTAAATATGGTTATCCGCCAAAACCACTTCTCCTTTCTCAAAGCGAGCCTTCATTACCTCTGAGCAAGTTGGATATCAAATTAAATGGCGAACAACTTACGATCAGTTCAAGAGAAGAACGTAAATCTGGGGGATCACCAAAATCGACTTCACCTTCTGATTCTAAAACCTCATCTATCCCTCCTAAAGTAAAAGATAGACAAACAGCAGAGGCGAAGTCATTTTCTTTCTCTGGTATGCATGGTGATGCGAAAAACACATCGGATTCTGCACCTCCTGTGGCCCTTTCGCGTAAAAGAGGTATTGCTGGAGATGTACCTGAGATTCCAATTCCGGAACTCCAGGCTACACTTGGTAAGTCTTCCACCCAAAATTATCATTCACTCCACTAACATCTCTCAGTCCTCCGTGTCATGCCAGACGATAACTCATGTCTTTTCCGAGCTTTTGGAACGGCAGTTCTTCCTGGTGATGACCTTTCTATGCATGAGCTTCGATCCGTCGTAGCTTCTACCATTCAAGGCAAACCCGAACTTTATAGCAAAGTTGTATTAGAACAAGCACCCGATGATTACTGTCGCTGGATTCAAACCTCTGATGCTTGGGGTGGAGCTATCGAGATGGGCATTTTGGCTGAGGCCTTTGGTATAGAAGTCGTTTGTGTCGATGTTCAAGTATGTCATCCCTTTTTCAATTATGAGTTGACATTTCCATTCCCCATGAGAACCCTCATTCATTATGACCCTCAATCATAACCTCACAAACTAACAATACCCAGTCCCTATCCATCCACAAATTCCACGAATCTGGCACCAACACCAGATGTGTTTTGATCTACTCCGGAATCCATTATGACATGCTAGCCCTTTCTCCCTTCTCTTCAACTCCCGAAAATGACATTCGAGTTTTCGATAAATCCGACGACACCATTATCGCCAAAGCAGTAGAATTATGCTCAAAATTAAGAGAAAAGCATTATTATACTGATACAGGAGGGATGGCTATCAAGTGTAAAGATTGTGGTGTGATTGTTCATGGGGAAGCTCAAGCGGCGGCTCATGCGCAGCAATTAGGCCACTACAACATGGCTGAGGTTGATACTTGAAATTGTGGTTGAGATTCTGATTATGATATAGTCGGGTTTGAGGAGAGGAATGATGAATCTACTGAGCTAGTATACGTCGTAAACATCGGCTACCGCAAAGATAATCGGCTAGCTACTCAACGACTAAATGTCCACACCAAGGGTGGCATCTATATAAATCTAGCTAGATATTGATGGTTGGGATATTTCCAAAGGTTAGAAACACGATAGATTGGAAGATGGAAAAGACAGTAAACAAATAGCCTACACATCTAGTATACACTCACCGGCTCTTGTCAAGCAGAGCTCATGTCAATAACTTTTACCACCTCACTACACTCCACATCATCAAGTTCTTTATAACATCTTCTCACCACCGTAACATAGCAGTGATAGAAATGTTGATAAAAATAACCCATCAAAACACACCCATTTATCACTCTAGTTTCTCCCTAGCTTTTGATCGCACCCCAATGCAAGGATAAAGATCCTACCATGATCCATCAAACAAATCTTTCCTCCGCCCCAACGTCCAGAATGTAGCTATTTTAAGATTTTAGTAAAGCCTGAGAAGAAGGAAAACAAGACACAACTCGTTAATAAATCTAGTACGTGCTTGTTTCACAGGAAGGGATCCAAGCACAAAGAACGAGATCATGGAATATAGATAGATAGATAGTTCTACAACACTTAGGGTTTTGCGGTCTAATCCCAAGAAAGCCAGCGGTGTGAAATTTTTATATTGAGTACTGATATTACTAGTAGGATAAAGTACATTCATTATCAAATTTCATGACGAACTGTCAATTGCAATTGGAATGTCAAAATATAGGACCTTGGGGGTGATAAGTGAGAGAAAGTTGTGTTTCACGAGTATCGTCTTTTTTTCTGGTTCGTAGTCTACGTACTGGAACTAAGAGTCAGTGGGCACTTGGAGATGTTGGTGAATTCTGATATACACGGAATCTTTACGTAGATTTCTTTATCTCATTCATCGATATAATTCTAATGCTGATGCTGATGCTATACCACGCCATGCCATGTTCGCTCTACTGAAAATATATCATATAAACAAGCATGTGGCATGACTCTCATCATCTCATGAATTCATCAAGATACCGCCTACACCACTATTCTGATTCCTTAAACCATCTAAGAAATAGCTCTCATAGTCATTTCCACCACGGCGAAAGTACCCGCACTGACCGGCATAGCCCTCAACAACGTAGGAAAAATGCCTTTCCAGAATCCTCTTGCACCTTCCGCTCTCCACGTCTTTGCAAAACAGTCTCTCATACCATTGTATTTCATCTCCTTACCAAACCCATCACTTTGCATTTTGCTCTTTACAACATCAAACGGATAGCTGGCCAACCATAAAGCTTCTCCAGCTAGACCACCATAGAAAGCAATTTTCCAGCTCGGAATATCTTTGCGTTCGATTTTGTTGCGGGCCGCGTCGCTGTTCATCATGTATTCGAAAGAAAGGAACCATACACCATAAGCCTGCGCTTCTCGAATAATGGTAACGGCCTCACCACGATAGAGACCCTTGAGAACGCCTTCATGGGCCGACAATTTCCGAACACAGTCCAGGGGACCATTGTAGAGTTTTCCCGCACCGTGGGGCTGCGTTTGTAATCTAATTCTCACGTGTTCAATGGGACCCGAGATACCAGAGTTGGCGATACCGGCAAAGGCACCCGCCGCATAGTATTGTGCATAGGAAAGACCTGGGGAAAGAGGATTGCGAGTAGTGTTGTAGTTTTCAAGGTAACGACGAGCTTGGTGGAAAGCTCCAAACTGGACGGAAACACAGGCTCCAATACCGATCAAAGGCGTGAGAGTACCTTTGTAGAAGGCGAGAGCACCTTCATTGCGGTAGATGGTTTGAGCGGCTTCAAGAGCATTGGCATACTGTGTAGTGGTTTGGAGACGAACTTTGACAATATCGAATGGTTGACCTGCGGAAGAGGTTAGATCATCATCTTGTGAAGTGCTCGTTATGTTGTTCCCATCCTAAAAACAAGTTCAAGGGAAGATCCAGACTTGAAACGTATCCATCAAAAGGCTTGCGCAAATCTACAGACCATTGTCATCGCCCGAAGACAGTTCCATTCCTCAACATATCTCGTTACCTCCACGTGATCCTCCCAACCAACCCAAAAATATTCAAAAACACCCCAGGATGAAAACAGCATCTCACTTACCCAACAGAACCTGAGCTACACCCCCAGCAGCCCCGGCAAACAAGTCCTTCAAGGTTCTCTTGAAGCCCCCCTCTTCTAGTTCCGCTGCTACGTCCGCCATTTTGTTTAATCTGTCCCTTTCCCCGCAATGTTAGGCACGTTCCCTGACACTTTCCTAACTTCTGCTTCTCTAGTTGATAGTTCAATCAGTCCTTAAATTGCCAATCGGATAGAGAGGGTAAAATTTGGTTAAAGGTCAAAATTATAAATTGGATTGGAACGCAAGTAAAATTTCAAAAGTATCGTTGGCCTTTTGAAGTCATCTGTTATCTACAAAGAAAAAACACACCAATTCGCGCTTGTCATCGGAGTCGTAAGCTAGCCAGTGATGATGTGCTTTTCGCTTAGATAACTTTGATTGGGTGTATACATGCCTAGATATTGAGGCCTTTGTGTGCAAACTTCAATGTGAAAAGTATCTGAACTCGCCTTGAATAGGGGCTTGAAACAAGTTTGGTCGTGAGCACATTTTGAGGAACAATACATCAATCTCAAATTACAAGAAGAGATTGCTTTTCTCACCATTTTAAATATCTGATCAGTCTATCGTTTAATATACAAATTAACATCTTCAATTGATGCCGTGAGTTACTAAGAGAAGAGGGACGAAATGACGCCTCGGCAATATGAAATGACTATCAAGGAATGAATGACATATTACTACTCGATCAATTTTCGAATGAAGATACCTTCATCCAGACAGCCAGAAATCCACCGCCGGGAAATGCTAATAATATCATCTACAACATGATCATACCCGCACCTGCCATTCCAGCAACCACGAGATAGGCACCTAATTGCAACAAGCCCAAATCGAAACGTGGGACAATAGTAGCACCGGCAGCACTCTTCTTAGTAGAGGTGGATGTACTTGATGAGCTGCTTGAAGATCTAGTACCAGTTGGTGCGCTGGTAACAGTTCCGGTTCCTGCGGTTCCGGCTTGGCTGATGAGACTTGAACAGGTTGAGCTCTTGGAGCCAGTTTGAGTCTTAGCACTACCGTTGAAGTCACATGCAGTAGCTGCTTTGCCTTGATTTTGATAGTATTGGTCAAATACGAAAGACAATTGCTGAGCGCTTGTGCACATGGAGTAGGCACCGTAGGATCCAGTGGTAGCATTCTTTGAG